CATGCTGCCCTTATTAACATTCTTGCACTTTAGTCCTCTCCTCGCAATCATTTCTCTGGTTTTCTTCTTGTCTAGATCTTGCTCTTGGGAATGATTTGATTTTGCCTGATGAAATGTTTACTGGACACCATCAACTTCAGCACCACCCTCACCCTGGAGTTGGTAGATTTCCCTTTTCTCCACCTTCTCCTCGAGGCTGAAGGATTGGTTTGATTCTGATAACTGAAAGAGCAAGAAGCTCCACTCAAGATCCTCCATCTCCATTCTTAATACAACATAGCTTAAAGTAAATGGTCATGTACCAAATTGATAGAAAGGGGTAGGGGAGGGCCCTCATTACGTTGGAATAAATGTAATGCGTCCAATGAATGATAGCTGGGGATAGAGGAAACATATGGTGTAATATGTTTCATTTAAGGAACATTACAAGACTGACTGGCAAGGAGGAATAGATATACAGATGACTATATGATGTAATATGGATTAATGATATAAGGGGACCCATTGATCAAAGGTAGAATTTCAACAGGTAACACCAATTAACCATCATGAGTCTATAGTATAGGAGAGTTTTGGATTCTAAGATTCTTAATGTCGAACAGTAACTTAGAATCAGAGAGACCCGACTAGGATAAATAATTGATGGGGTTATATAATTAATCTAGAGGAAAGGGACAGGAAGCATGGAACATAAGGGACACGGGCATGAAATTCTAAGGTTTGAAGACGCAGGGAGTGAAAGGCGCAGGAAGTCACGCAACTAGGAAATCAGCTGTGTGCATTGAGAATGATGTCAATTCTAGAGCTGTTTTTATTTCTGATAGATGGAACGAAAAATGGAATAGTCTGGGGGAACAGGATTTTAAGCATGGTGGCATACTTCGTGGTAGTGATTAAGAAAGCTGACAAAGCCATTGTGGCCATGTTTTGGCTTACTGGGCAAACCACGTGCTATACTTAACTTAAAACAATAGTGGATAAAGCTAACTTTACGTTTCTAGCTAAGAAGACGACCACGGATATCAGTGTGTTTAAGCAGGGTGCTGCCCAGGTGCTGTTTGCTCAGAAGTCTGATACCTCGAATCTGGAGCTACCTAAGAAGTAAAGAGAGCTGTGCGAGGTTGTTTATGAGCTCGTTCAAAAGGGGCTGGTCCACGAGTCGATGATGGGAGCACAGTTAAAGAAAAGACTAGCTGAGTTTCAGGGGGAGGAAGAGGCTCTGGTCGAAAGCGGATGACGCCCGATTCCGGCGAGGTAATTCTTGGGCTTTACAATGTAAAGAATATTAAGAGGGGACATAATCAATGGTGTAATTGGTAATCTTAACCAATCCTGTAACTTTTGATCAATGGTTTAATTGATTGCCATGGGGTCTGTCCTGGTGAGCGATCTTTGGAC